TGAAAACATAGTGAGTCTGGTATTCAAACTCGCAGGATCAAACCCAGGTCTTAAATCCTGATGTGTAGGCTCTTCCCATTCTATCAAGCAAGGCAACCCTGAAAAGCCACTAATCACCGCCGACCACATCACTCAGCATAGAAAGAAGAAAAGTATGTTTTATCTGATAAAACCGCGTCCTCTGTTGGCAAAATGTCCACTGACTGGAAGCTTCGGGAACAGCGGGTCCTCAACCAGAAAATGAAGACTGTTCTCGATAGAACAACTAGTATTGGATCACCACTTTCCTGCTTTATAGACAAGCATGCTAAACGCCGACGGCACCACATTCAATCAATATCAATAGTTGTCACAGTCATACTGTATGTATACACGGAAAGAATATGATGATTGGTAACGGAAAGTCATCCTGCTGAAAGAAGTTTAGTGTTGATTTTGCGTTGTCTCCTTCACTCAAGAGAATACTAAGGAAGCACCGGGTGGTATTGATGTGGGTTCTATATATCCATATTGATTGAATTAACCCGGTCCTACCATTCAACCAACCTGTTACATTCTCTCGGACACCGATCTTGGTACATCCATAGTTTCAATACCAACAAGCCATCTTTAAACCGTCTCGGGTGCTTGTTCTTCGAAGATCAAAGGATGCTTCGCCATATAATCCTTCACGATGCTCAGCGATTGCAGAACTTGGGACTTTTCAAGATGCGCTGCCACTCCAGTGTAGCTTGCTTCCATATGACTGTGGCTCTGGCTTATCCTAAATGACAAGCCTGGCCATCGCTGTTGTTATTTGGTTGGATAATGGGCTGGTGTAAGCCTTGGTGATCTGTTGGCCGGCCACCGACAAGCGCTCCGGATGCATCGCTGGTCAAAACTGACGATTCGATCCTCGCTGCGCTTGCAGAGCCATTTGCAGGTGGTATGGGTCCAGGAGTGAAGGTAGGGACTTGATTGCTCGAGCACAAGTCGGAATCCGTATATTGGTTGCAGGGCTCGGTACTGAATTTTGTGGTTCTCGGGTCAGACGTGAAATGAGACAGCATCAAATGAATGGACAATCCAAACCTCTCTCTCCCGGGCTTAGTTAGAGATACCAAGCTGGTATCGGCCTTTAGTTGGGTGGGCTTAAGCTCGCTGCTTCTCTTTGGACGTTGGCTACTTCGGCGCATTTCACCTTCCTGACGTTTGCTAGACTTGGTTCGTACAACCTCATCAGCCTTCCCGGCTTTGGAACCATCTTTCTTGGGTCGAGGTTCGATAACGCAATATTTGGGGCGCAAGGGTGGAGGAGAGGGAGAGACCGCGGGAGTTGCCAAGCAGGGTGATGGAGCAGGTAACCCGTAAATTAAGTCCCGGGTTTGAAAGCCAGCCTCAAAAGACCTGTCGCCAACGGCTGAGTGGTATGATGAAAGGCATTGCGGTGAGGTGTATGAGTATGGGTAACTCATCTGACCAAATGCGAACTGGTCCCCGGTGTCCATGTTGATCCGGAGTGGAGAACCTTGAAAGGACTCGCTATTCATTCCAAGCATATAAAGAATTAACTAATTCAGGACATTTCTCAATAGTGAACGGTATATTCAACAATGAGTAAGAATGAAAGAGATAGTTCCGGATCGCCGGGGAGTAGGATAGATCTCTATTAACGAGAATTGGGGGAAAGGATTGGCGCTTCTTTCTCGCTCTCAGGGCATTGTACTAGTGAAATGCTTTAACCACATAACATATTATGTGACCATGCTCTCATTCCTATTGAAAGATAGCGTAAAGGCACCAAACTTGGATCTTGCCTGAAATAGTTCGTCCGAGCAAGCCGCAACTGGCGCCAACGTCGGGTCTGAATCATAACCGGTTGCATGACCTGGTCTTAATGGCTGAACCTTGCTCGCAGGGCCCCGCGGCAACTGGATGGATCAGCCCGTGTTTCCAGGTCGAGTGCATAGCAATAATGCCAAGCCATACGTAGACAATACTAGGGGTAATCTGGCACGTCGGCCCATGGTCGATCCATTGCCCCTCACATTCTGACTTCTCTTCATCTTCTTATTCTAGGGTATTTATCAGGGTCACACTCTTTGGTATTTCACGAAAAGACTCAACTTTCAGAATGACCTTTAAACGGCTGAAAGGCAGCTCCCATGGCGTATCAGCCCAAAATGAACCGGATTCAGGTGAAAGCCTGACAGTGATGAATGGGCGTATTCTGCCAGACCTGCACAGAAATGCTTCGGTACCATGCTTTCATACTAGCCCTTCTTTTCTAGATAGTCTTATGGCTAATAAAATGTCAAGGCCCAACCAACGTCGGCTCCGATGCACGACAGTCAGGACCAGGTAAGTCTACCCTAAAGCCAGTCCGTATATTCTTGTACCTTCCAACGACTGTTACTGACCATTTCTCTTTTTTTCGCATGAAGCGACTATCCCATGATAGACATATTCCGTCTAGTCGGCTTCTTCCCAACCCCGATGAACGGAGACAACAGGGTACCTATGACACGCCTCTCAGTACGTGGCTTGAGTATTGACTTGCATTACTGTAGCCACCATCGACTGCCGCCGGGGACCTCAAGGTATCGGTCATGAAAACCAACGAACGTATACCTTCAATGGCTGCACATTCGATAACACAAGCATGGTAATTATTGGAAGCGCAAGCTCTAAGAACGAAACTGTGGTCCTCCGTGATGCTAAAAATGGCCGAGGCTTTTTTGCCAATGGAGACATGGATAAAGAAACCTTCTTGAGGGAATTCTGTGGAAAGAAGTAGTTTTAGTGGAAGCCTAGGATATTATGCAGCTATTTTCTCTTTGATTTGATATGGATCAAGTAGACATGCAAAGCAGGTCGAAGCTACCGCTCAATACCTCCCAGCAAGCCTTAACTCCCCTTTGTATTCTGTGCTATTCCGCAATGGGATGATCAAAACAGACCGAATATACTGGTTCTTATTCTATACCTCCCAAAGTCTTTTGATGCGGGGAGTCCAAAGGAGGTAGCTGCGGGATAGTGGGCTTGGAAAGGGAGAATATGGGGGTTCTCTGGTATTCTCGACGACAAACGACTGCTGACATGCAGGTACGCAAAGAGAATTGGGGGCACAGCTTGAGTATTGAACCGAGGAATGGACTTGGTGGCTACTGAATAGCCTACATGCAGTCTGGCAGAAGGATGCGCTCAAATTGTTTGAACTTGGTGCGAAGACTGACCATGTGAATCTTTCCCCACGACGTGGGCTGCATTCGCCTATCAGACAGAGCACTAGAGCCGAGCCAAGCTTTGAAGATTTATCACCAGTTGTACCTCCTTCTGAATTGATGACAGACCCTCACTTGCATCACGATACTCTTCATGAACGACCACAAATAATGTGATTGAAACTTCAACCGCTGTAGCTTCGGCTGAGGTTTAGAGACAGTATTCTAACCACAACAGATAACGGTAGAGTAGAGTATGCGGGGGTTTGATCATACGGGTGATGTCTATCACGTTCAAACGACAAAGCGTGAGAGCTGTCTGGTGCGGTCGCAGGGCTTCTGGCTGGCGTCCGACTAGCCCTTGGAACCAGGCCAGGTCTTCCACCCGGTGGCATTGAAGAATTTTCTTACTCCAAGAACAAGAGGCCGATCCTGCTTGCCGACATCAGCTTTGTACGGTGTTTTGGTCGAAAAATCTCGAACAATTATGCACGACGATCGGCTAACGAAGAGACGGATGGGAAAGGCCAGGAGCTCGGTGGGCCTGAGGATTGTCGTTGTTGGAGCTGGTATGATTCAACCCAAGTTTGAGTTCTTAGTTAGCTGAAAGATTCTTGGCTATCAAGGCATCTCGGTGGCTAGACCTTCCAGTTCAAGCCCAAAGAGCTTCGGTTGGGAAGGCTTTAGAGGCTTCGGTGAGATTTAACTTACCGGACAGGAGAACAAGAGGATCGGGGTTTATAACACGGACACGCATTTTGTTGACCAAAGAGGATGGGGGATTGATGATGGAAAGAGACAAGCAGGGCTGGAATACTCAAGAGGTGTGAGGGTGCGGTGGAGAGTAGACAACCCAAGGGTTACTTACCTAAAACAGACAGCCAGTGTTAAGTTTCTCCTTCACCCAAGCTTTTTGCCTCGCATTCCCAGGATCCAACAACAACGTACAATAAAGAGAACCGAGGTCCTTGGTTTATCGAAGCAGCCTTTACTCAACAGAAAGCAACATTTGACACTTTCCCAGCAACGACTGTCGACAAAGCATCCACAAAGCACATCCGAGGCAACGAAAGGATCCCTGACCCTCTTCAATCTCGTCCTACTTGGCTGTGCAGCCAGCGAAGGAGACGATGACGAAAGTATTGGTCTATTTGGGGAAGTCAAGAGCAGCTTCTCTTGATCGAAGATGTCTCCAGACTTTCAAGTGAGATCTCCTTCCTGGTCGGCCGAGTTTCACTCACGCGACATTTCCTTCTTCCTTCCATTCTCTCACATTCCTCCATGCGCTACAGATTCACTTATACATCTCTGAAATCAGCCAAGATTCTTTTCCGTAGACGAAGAGCTGACCTCCTACCCAGTTGCCGATCATCTCGAACAAGCACGAAGCGATCCTTCCAACGAGTGTTATATAAAATGACATGTGGTTCAAGGAGGAAAACCGCAACTCGGTCTGTCGAACCTCACAATGCTCCCTTAGTTTAAATCCCTGTTGCTAATGATCTTGAGATTCTGGCAGGTCGTTCCGTGAACGAGTCGGTCGGACAATGTGTACCATACAAACGAGAAGGTCCGAACGATGTATCCGTGCAACACGCATACTCCTATCGTCAAAGGGGAAAAGAGCCTTGGGGATACCGAGTGTACGAGAGGCCTCAGTCCTACCTCTGCATCCCCCAAGGTTGAAGGCTGTCATGATGGAGCCAGTAACCAGGGGAAACATAACACTGAGCCCATGGTATCTAGACTATACGATATCGATTCTATATCTCAGAGAAAGGCAGAAGCGCCAGAATAAGAGACGCCTGGGGGTGAAACGGTGGCTTCGGACCCGATTCATGGAAGTAAGAGCAGTGATATCCCGAACTCGGGAAGGACGCCACTGGACTCGGATGTGTACTGATATACGACGAAATATCCTCCCTAAATACTCCAAAAGATTGGACTACGCAGCAATTGGCACAAAAGAGAATGGAAAAAGCAGAAGACGATATGCGAGCTCCAGGGACAACAGACTCATTTGACTTGTTCGTTGGATGTATCGGGCCTGAGCCTTTCTATCCATCTACCAATATCAAGATACAACCTTCGATTCTGGAATAGGTGGTACTCCTCCGCATAAGTCTGTATATAATTCAACAACTCGACCGCTTGGTCTCTGATAGTATGGTCTCGCATGGGGCCTGAAGCAGTGATGCATTTGGTGAGGATGAAATTGAGGGTTTCGAAAGGAGCAAGCACCTGGACCGCGCTATTTGATACTATAGGGATCAGTGTTGCATCAAGGCCTTTGATTTCTGTCATCCACTGATCAATTGTCTCAATTTCCAGGTTGAATGCACGGAATTCCCTAGCGATCTCACGCAGAACCCTCAGTGCCCGTAAAACTTGAACCTTTAAGGCCAACTGGAGGGTCTCAACTGGAGTTTCTGCAGAATCATTCTGGTAATTTCGAGGGTAATCAGGTGACCAAGGGCGTGGGACTTGCGTAGATGGATCGTGTCTAGGCGCTGGCGGTGTTCTCGCTGTTCTGTAATAGTCTACTTAGCACTGCAGAGAATACAAGTTCGAAAGTACAGCGATGCAGACCTTGTTTTACCATCTCTAGCTGGTAAGCTAGTCGTGCCAGGTACCTCAGATACCGTCCGACATGCATTTCTTGCTGTCTTCTGGACACGCTTGGGGCCCAACTGTCTTTTTCGGTGGTTCGTGTGTTTCCGGCGCCCCAATTCCCGGTGTTGACTGTGCTTTTCTTCTTCCTCGGGTTCCAATGGATGTGATGCAGGCGTTGCTTTATGCGGCGGTTTATGTCTTATTTCTCGATAAGTCACATTTGGCCCAGAAGGTTGAGCGATGGTTGAAGAAGCAGGTACTGTAAGCCAATCCTGCGATTGTCGAACGTTCCGATAAACGCTACTTGCTGGGTCAATCTCAAGCGCCGATTGCATAACCGGAGCATACGCTGGGCTGTAGGTTGTTACGACTTCCCTGGATGGGAAGCTTGTGCTGGTGTTGAATAGGGTTCCATCATGATACATGCTGTCACAACAATGGTTAGCTTATAGTCATCTAATGCCCAAGATCACTGGGTAGGTGAGTTACCTGCAAGCAGTTTGGTGAAGTCGACAGGACTGCTAGACGGGGTTGTATCTTGCCTCCTGGCTAAAAGGCAGGTGCTGATCGGAAGGGGCGATCAGCAATCTCGGGCATGACAGCAGTTTTCCACCTGACTGAGAGCACGACACCAGTGGCCCTCATGGTTAGTAAACATCCCAGGAACCAGACTTGGAAGAGTGAGTGGATCAAATGATAGGCGCTCTTGCCTCAAAATAGGTCCCCCGAGCTGACCCGGTACGTCTTCAAGTTCTTGGTCTGAACCTTCTCTTTGCCTACATTGTTAGCCCGCTGCAACTGGGCCATTTCCATAATAGGCATTTATAATGTGACTAGGTGGCCTTTTTGCCTCAATTAGACTAGGGTCTAGCATACGCAATGAACTAGACGCCCGAAGGCCGTTTCACACTCCAGCCTCTGCCACATGTTCCTCGTTAATACCGAGAAAATGAGCAGAATGTGATGATTAAATCACTCCTCCATTTGAGTTTAGCGGAGCATGACTTGGCCGTCATTGGCCACTTGCCCTCGATAGTGAGAAGCCCCGTGGGCTTTTGTCTGAGCCCTCTTATGCTAATGGTCAGATTGGTTGACGCCCCAATAGCTAGCACTTTCGCTGCAGGCCCACACAGCAATTTTACAGAACGTTCCATTGCAAAGTTATTACAGTGTACCCGTGGGTTATACTAGTATTAAATTACGGTACAGGAGGCGGCTGGCCTTCTTTCATCTTCACCATCTCATCGCATTTCATCCTCTCGTGAGTCTCAATGCTGTTGACGGGAAATATTAGGATCGCTCTGTTCCCTAGGGAGTTATCGAAAGTGGTCCTGAATGGAACACGGGGCTTGGTGCAAATTGGCTTGAGTATTTTCGATAGCGGGTCGAGGATCACAAGTGATATGGGTCGGTTATAGTGAAATGGACCTTGTGATCGACAGGATCAATGTTGCAGTTAAGAATGCTATGTACATGAAGCGAACCACCGCATGCTCCAAAGCCCGTAAACTGTACAATACAGATCTCCCATCAACAGGTGGCCTATATCCAGGGAACCTAAATTATCCTTCTACTTCAGCTCGTGGAAGCCATAATCAATGAATTGTGATCTGTGTGAGATATCGGAAAAGGGACGTGCAGGTCGCAAGGGGCGAAGGATTCTGGCATTGAGGCCTTCCCTATAGGGTATGGTTCAGATTTCATACCCTCCTTAGTGTGCTAAACAAACACCGGTTATGAGGGAAATGGTTGGAATTTCGGTTCAATATGGCAATCCGCCTAATCGCAATCTGTATCACTTGTATGAGTACGGGTCCGGGTCCGCAGCGACCGATATTGTAGTCATCGCTCTTGCTAGGTACGACAAGTGGCGTCTGCGGGCAAGAAGCAGGATTCTAATTTTCGCCGTGGAGAGCTACTTCCCTTTTCCAGCATGTCCGAGTCTAAAGGTGCATGCAAGGTATTTTTCATTTTGACTAACTACCCTGAGGGCTCTTTTTGGATACCCTCGAATGGTTCTAGCTTCAAGTTTATACCAGGGAAAGGTGAGTCCAACCGTACGAAATCAGTGAAATTACATATATCCAATTTCTGGTTTGTCCGGCAGTTCATGTAAACGTGTGTGTAATAGGCGCAAATTTTGCCACTGCATCCTCGCCTCCATCCATCGCCATCACGTCGCGATACTGCATACGCTTCACGACCGTCTCCTTTGCCCAATCGAATCTGATTTCAACCTCCAATTCATCAATAGACAGGGGTTTGACTCGGTCGTTGAAAGTGTAATTGATAGACCACACCTTGACCACATGAGACTGAGCAACATCCCCCAATCCGGCCCTGGAAAATTCCATCCTTTTTTCCAAACCAGGGGAATTACTGACAGTGATGCATCCACTGTATGAGATCATGGTATGTGCCCAATTTGTCTTTGGCCGGGTTTTATCCGTCTCCTCGTCGAGGGAGGGCTCCCTTGCATCCATGAAGGCAGTTGTGCTCTATACGTAGTTTTAGCATGTATCAGGTGGAACGGACAATTCGGCTTTCAGACCCTTGAGAGACCAAAACATTGGAAAAAGTAGAAAATGCTCATGGCAAGCGGAGAATCAGATAGTGATTGGCTAAAATTCACTTCGACATGTGCACGCAAAAACCAACATCAAGTGGGAGCTTGAGGCTTAAGAACGTTTCATGGACAATGGAAGCGAGGAATCCCTCTTTCATACTCAGGGGTGTTACACAAGCTAGTTGTGCTGACATCGCACTTTGTCTATGGTTCAGGTATAAATCTTGCGGCATGGTCTGATCTATCCTCTTTCTAGCTGTGTGTGATAACTCCTGCCGACCCACCCCTGCCGACCTCAACCCATCTGATTCTAGGCACTCACGACCAATCCCCAACTGTCATCATGACCCCAGTCACCGCGGAAAGGCTGCTGTCAGACTTATCAACGCAACTGGATCCTTTTATCCGCTTTCTCAGTATCGACTTGACCTCGGTCATCCTAGAAGGAGTTTCAGACCAAGGATGCCTGCGGGCTGTGGAACTCATAGCAACGGGAACGAACACCTACATCTGGTTACAACGGATCCAAGAAATTCATCAATGGACCAACCTGGCTTTGTGGGAGCAAGATTGGCTTCGACGGACTGGACGCAATAAGCCTACACCATGCTCGGGGTCCCATCGACTAGGCACCATGACCACATTCATCCAGGAAGAGAAATTATCCGACAGTCACAAGACCAAGAAAGCACTGCAGCATGGGCGCAGACTGATACGATTTGAATATGAACTTGGAGCTGGAATTACGCTTCTTTTCATACCAGTCCTTCCTGCTTTCCGTTGTTTGACCTTAGCTGAAGAAGCTAGGACAATGGAGATGCTGCGGGATGGCGACTTTGCAAACATCATGTACCAGGCGCAAGTTCTGGCTTGCCTGAGGTTCAATTATCAACGCATCCATGGAATTTATCCCGGTAAGCTAATACGGACAAGTCACCTATATTGTCTAGCTAAACTGTTCCCAATAGCAATGCCCTGCCCACCACATGAAGATCCAGCATGCCACAGCGCGGTTTCCACTAGATCTTCATGAAAGCAAAAGCTTCACGTGCTGATGATGTATCCATCCCCCACGGGTCCTTAGAAAACCCTTCCCAAACAAAGGATTCTCCAGCAGGCAGTGAAATTATCATCTTGACTCCGCCTCGCACGAAAAGGACTTCGTTTGATCGCAAATTGAAAGATCTCGGTGTTCGTCTTTCCTGTGCGTGCTGGGAGATTGGATAGAGCTTGAAGGTTGTCACTCTATCCCCCGGGTTACCTGAGAGGGTTCGGAACACCGAGACTCCATCTCGGCAAGGGTGGGCGGCATTGATTCCCCAGCTGGTTGGGCGATCGGACGAGTGGACGATGACTGGGCCTTGGTGGAGAAGGAAGGCCGGCCTTCCGATCACTTCTTCGACCTTCCTGGTGAACTGCCATTATATTTAGTTCTGTACAATGACCACTGAACTGAAGAACACACTTCGCTACCCTGGAGTCCGAATCTCAAGAAGTTCTCGCATGCATCATGATCCCCTCTTCCATACATAATCGGCCCTGACACTTCGTTTGGTCGTGATCGGAGCGATCTCTCCACCTCCGTGGCCATATTCTCGGGCGGCGAGTCGGCTGGGAGCATGCTGTATCCCATATCCTCCATGGCCGAGTATCCCATTATGTCGTCATACGACATGGCTTGTGCGGATGTCATATCTGTG